AGTGTTAAACATTTTCATTCGACATCGGTTACTGTGCATGTTACGATTGTTTTCAAATAATTTAGAAACGTCGGTGCTCAGTGACTGGCATGGCGCTTAACGTGTAAATATAAACACTAAAACTACCGAGCAGATAAATCGACTTTCCGCAATTCCTCTATAGAAGCTCACAAAGTACATCTATTAAGACTTTAATTTAAGTCAATTCTTACAATTCAGTTTGTGTATTGCTAAATCAACCTCTTTAATCACTTCTCAGAGAAACATCCGTTATCTTTTTCATATCTGCAAAAAGAAGAAATCAGAAATGGGTTCGGAAATCGTTTTGACTCATTTGGTAGCTTTAGTGTTAAAGGAGAATATTTTGAAAAACAACAGAACTATTAGTTCAAGCAAATTCACGACTCTTATACTTTCCCGAAATATTAGCAGCATCCCACGAAAAACGAAGCGTTTTATCGCATCTGCGCGATTAACGCGAATTAATGAGACTTATCAGATGCTGCCGGTGTGCCGCGTCTCGCCGTTCCGAACCGAGCCGTTCTTTTCTCTTTTTATTTCGGTTCCTGGCCGAAGCAACAGCTAGTAGGGGCGGTTTACGGTGTGTTGTTGGCGTGGGGTTGTTCTATGGGTGGCTAGGGGTTGCGGGGTGGATGCTGGAAGCAAACGACCGACAAAGAGGAGCGGCAAGACGAGACAGGAACAGAGATCGGGGTTGTTGGAAGGGGGTGTAAAGAGGTGGGAGAGGGAATGGGACGAAGCAACAGAGTCCAGGGAGAAAGGGAGAGAAAGGGAGAGAGTGGGAGGGATGCGGATCGGTCGGCGAGGTGCGAGAAGGACGGAGAATGTCTGTCGTGGCAGAGTAGTAGCGGTGGTAGCATATACGGCGTTTTAACTCGCGAGGAAAACTCTGAGAGCACGAGCTCGCGGTCCTCAGTCGCGTGTGACACGCGGCCTTAGTCGGTGCGCATCTGTCGCTGGAATCGTCGACGCGCCTTCGATCCATCGATCGATTTTTGAGTGCAGCATATTGTGTTTGAGAACTTTGGAAACTCTCCGAGTGAAATAATTGACGTTGCTTTTGTGAATTTGGTAATTGAGTTTGTTTTGTTCGGCGAACGTTGCATTGGAGGAGGGAATTTGAAGTGAACGTTATAATTGCGAAGTAAATATTGATGTTTTAGGAATTAGTATTTTAAAGGAACATTCGGAGTCTGGAATGGGAATTAATATTTAAAAAGTAAACATTAATATTTCAATACATTTGACAATAAATATTAATATTTCAAAATATTTCGAAATAAATACCACAACTTCATAATAAAAATTAATATTTCGAAATGAAACTGACTATTTCACGGTAAAAATGACCATTTCGAAACAAGAATGACTATTTCACAGTAAACATTACCATTTAACACAAACATTCCTACTTCATAGTAAAAATCAATATTCTAAAGTGAAAATTAACTTTAAAGTGACATTTACGGTTTATTTGATACTGTAAATATGCATTGCGTTTGTTGTTTATCCAAGTGAAATTGAAAGGTGACACCGCTTTGATTCAAGGATAGAAGCTGTTGATCGTTTCCGCGGGTCCTACACCGTGGATGATCGACGAGAACGAGCGTTCAATCGCGATCCAGCCGATGGCACGGGAGAATTATAAATTCCCGTGAAATTATAAATCCCGCGACGGCCGCGTGTATTTCACCAGTGTAGCGCGAAACCACTGGTTGTGTATGTGCTCACTCGGGGAACGATAACAGCCGTTCGCTCGTTCGAAGGATTTATACGATGCGCGTCGATGGTCCGCGCGGAGCACGTCGTCCCGCGATCTTAACACGCGGAACGAACCGTTCGACAACGTAAGATCGATGGGAAAATTAAATTTAACCCTTTGCACTCGTATGTCATGTTGGAGATGACAATACAAATTTGTTATACTTTATTTGTGCTACTTTAAGAAGTACCACAATTTAAAAGATTATAACAGTTAAATCTTATTATGATAATAATAAATCAAACAAATATAAAACGTTGAATTCTGCCGCTGTAAATGACTTTCATTCATTTACCTAAAAATAAATACAAATTTACACTCAACAACATTGAAAATAAATCGATTGCAAAGGGTAACACCTCGACAGTCACGTTTCGGTTTTTACGTATGTAAACATTTATTTTCTTCGTGACACATCGAACAAACCGAATTTTATTGGATGTACGAGATTGGAAAAAGGATAGTAAAGGAATTTTTATAAAGAATCTTGATCTTTTAGTTTCTGTTCCAAACTAACCCTTTGTCCTATGATTTCTTTCATAATAATGGTTGATAAAGCTACTTTTTCGTTAATAATTTAGTAACATGAGGAAAGAATTTGGTATTTATTCTGTGTTTACATTTTCTTTGAAAGTTAAAGGTTGATGACAAACCAGTAATATTTAATTTATATTAAAAATAGATAAGTAATATTTAAATTTGTCGGATTAGGTTGAAAATTGTCATCGCTTGACACGATATTATAGGAGAAGGGGTTAAGAAAACTATTTCGATGGTATAAAAGTTCTGACAAGTGTTTGTTGAAACGTGTTAAAAAGCGTTTATTGGAAGCAAACAGAATCCCAAAAAATCTCATGATATAGAAGAGACTAAATTAGTTTTTCTTATAATTAAGAAGTGACTGGGAACGAATTCGATTAAAAAAGAAATTACTCTAAATAGATTGTAATCTCATAGTAAAGGTTGGGAACGATAATTTTATTATCATCAAAAATAATATTTTTGGAACAATAATTTAAAGTGATGAATGGAATTGCAGTTTTAATGATATTATGTTTCATTAACACTAGAACTGCAGACTATTTAAAACGATAGATACGTGATATCTATAAAAATTATGACAATCGATTTTTTGAAATTTCTGGTAATCATAATATGCAAGTGATGCCGTTAATTTTTTAAAACAATTTCGTATAATTAACACTTTTATTATATCGATAATTTCAAAATATGAGAACTGAACTCAGTCATTGTTATTGACACAACAGTTCTAGCATTAATAAAAATTACGTAGAAGCATTAATGTGGATGGATTAATGAAATATAATGAGACTAGAGGATCAAAGATCTACGGGAACGTCTGATGATCTTATCGAAGTGAATGTTTAATCGTAAAAGATGCTACGTTTCGCCGAGTAAATCGATTCGAAATCACATCGTCGGTCGGTCGGAAGAAATTGGAGTTGAACGGAGAAAGTTAGATGAGATTAGACGGGGCGAGACTAGAATCTTCTACTTCCTTCTTCTCTGGACAATCGCGGACGATCGAGCGTGACCGCGAGCAGGAACTTCCGTTTTTGATACGAGTGACACTTTCTCTTGTAATTGGATTTTCTGTGATATTCAATGTTTGTGCATTGGGATGAGATTTGAAAAAAGTAACATCTCCTGATCAGATTTGAAAGATAAATAATACTTACTGATGATATTTGAAAAAAACTGTCTAATCAGATTTGAAAAACAAATAAAATCATCTGATGAAATGTGAAAAAAATCGTTTGATGAGATCTGAGAAATAAATAATGTCATCTGACAAGATTTAAAAAATAAATAAGCCGGTTAGATTTTTTCTTTTTTTCTCCCATGTTTTAGACAGCTGTCACTCGGTATCTAAAGTGATTTTAAAAGTAAATAAACTGGGTAGAAGTATCTTTTTTTATGATGCTGAGTACGAAATAATTGTAGGACAATTTATAATGGTTTCTAAACAATTAACAATTGTTTAGAAATAATTGTAACAATTATTTAAAAAGTTAACGATTGTTTCTAAGTAATTGTAATAATTATGTAAATAATCATCAATTATTTGAACAATTATAAGTTAACCATTTTCACGACAAGATAGAATAGGTTTTTAATATATCGACTCGTGTGTAGTGGAAATCAATATGGCTGATTGGTAAGCAGACTGACGGTGTGTCAACATGTTTGAATAGTGATCTCTTTTTATTAAATGCACCCAAGATTTAATAGAACTTTTTTAATAAAGAACAGATAATCTCTGTTACGAGAAAAGAAGTTATAAATAAAATATAATATAATTTCTCCTTCGGTGATACTGAAAATGTTTAATTTTCAAAAAGTAACATTCTCTGTGTTTTGAAAAGTGATCGTCGATGAAGTGGCTCGTGATTGCTTAAAAAATCGATTTTAAAAAATTATGAGATCGTAAGACTAGTGCTGATTGCGCGTGAAAAAGGACAGGAACGAAAGTTTTGTCAAGAATGTCGCGATCGATATTGGACCGATAGCGGCACATGAACATTTAAGAAATCGATCATCGTTTTCGTTCTATTTTCTTCATCGAAGAGCCAGCAAGATGCGGGACAAACTTGCATTCGGTGTAAGTTCCTTTGAAACTCTGAACCTGAATTTATTTTCGAGAACTTCTCATCCTTAACCATTAATTTAGATGTACAACTGTAGATAAAAAGAGTAATACAAAGGAAAAGTAGATAAATTGACCTTTTATGGCATTATTAAATTATATCGCCTTGTAACAATATATTCAATGAAAAGCAATATAAAATAAAAATTTATAATTAGCTTCTTCAACGAAATTTTGAAGGTTTCGTTTATTATAAACCAAAAATACTTTTTTCTCGAATATAGAATTCTTTTATATTACTTTTAATCCAAAAGCAAATCTTCATTACTTGTAGTCATATCTTAAACTGTATAAAATTAATTTTTCATTACTGATAATAATATACTTAATTACAATGATCACTTAAATCAAGTTACTAATTTTACACGTTTTTCTTTAATTGAATGTTATTGTTGCTTTAATTTAATTTACAAAATAGTAATGCAACAATTAGTCGAATATTGTAAAGGTTTCAAAAAAGTCACAAGAGAAATAATTAATAGACAATTGAATTGAGTTAATTAAACTGACACGATGGCGGAAGTATCATCCGAATGACATGATTTACAGTCGGGGGTGCCGGACATGCACGAGACCCTGTCTAGTTTTCCGGAACAGTTCGGAGATGGACCGAGGAAACCGGAAATAAAGGAGGAACCACCGAAGGAGTCGACGGACAACCTACAGTGCGGATGGTTCTGGTTCAGGCCCTTATACCTGCAACGATTTCGGACCGCGAAATGGGCGCTCTTCTGGTTGTGCTGGACAGGTGCGATACAAGGTACGTGACTCGACTATGTAAATACGATTAGCACGCAAATAATTGGTTGTAAAATAAAGGTAAACGTCGGATTATTGAAGACTAAAACTACCAAACGGACCAAAATGAGCCATTTCTGATTTCTTTGTTTCACAATTATTAAAGAGACAACAGATTTTTCTCTGAGAAATTATCAAAGAAATTGGTTTAGCAATATGTGAACTGAATTATAAATCAACTAAAGTCTCAATAGGTGCAAATTTCAAAAAATCAATTTAACTGCTCGGTAGTTTTAGTGTTAACTGAGCAATATACTTGGAATTTTATTTAATAAATATGAATAATGACGGTTAACACAACAGGTGTCTTTAAAGCGTTTTCTAGCTTTCCGGTAATTACAAATGTCCGTGGTACGTATGTGTACCATTGTAGGCGGAAAAGTTAAAGTTGAAAAGTTAAAAGAAAACATATAGAATATGTTTTATTAATTCAGAAGATTATGCGTATGTTTTGAAATTATACATTTAGTAGTATGTATTTATGCGAAAAAGTTAGTTTCATTAAATTAGTTTGAAATTTTTATGTTTTACACGAAATTTTCATGCAATTTACTTTTACGTTTAATCTTCACTCGTACTTAAACTTATACATTAATCATGGTATCAATAACTTTCTTACAATCACTGTGAATATCGTTTGAATTTGAAAGCGGTGAAATGAATATTTCCAATGCAATATATTTTTTGCCGTTGCATTCCTCTGCGTTAAAAGTGATGAGGTATTGGCTAGACAAGAGGTTGGCTGCGATGGTGGTCACCATTGACACCAGTGTCATCAGTCTTTTCATTGTTCGAATCCCTGGGGGCTACCGATAACTGGTGCTACAAAATTCCATAAAAATTTGTGTACGGAGATGAATGCTATCAGATAAAAGAGTCTATTGATGTAGATAACTTTGCAAAAACTGAGTTTAACAGAATGGTTCAAAACGAGATTTAAAACTATCCTAAATATATCTGCACAAGTTGAAATTTCATAAAATTTCATAAGATTTTATAAAACTATCCAATTTTTTTTAGAATACTTTTTCACATTATATTTCCAATAATCTAAGGTAATAGAGATAAACATATTAGTATCTACATTTAAACTAAAACATGATTTTATTTATTATAGAAAGTATGATGTAGTAAAATTATTTTATAATCACTAAATTATATCGAAGTAAATTGTACCAAATTTATTTTTATATTTAATCAGATTTATTTCATACTTAATCACAACAGAACAGAATTTATTGTGGAAAGAATAAATACATACATTTGCAGCTAGGATAAATTAAATGTTTATGATAATGAAAATTCTACGTTGTTTCCTAGACGAAAACATATGAAACTCGCGAATAGTCAATGTGGCAACAAACAATAAGAACACAGACTGTAACAAACACTCGCATTAATCACATAGCTTCCAATAACGTCTCTCGCGCGATATTGAAATCCTGACTAAAAAGTGAATTGCACATCTCCCATCTCCCATCATCTTTTTTTACTGTATAAAATGTACTATTATTCTACTGCAATTGCAGACGCGATATGCACTTCCTATTTTATTGAAAATTATTCTGAACCAATTGCTGTGGAATCAACATTGAAAGAAATGACTGGTGGAAGTGATTCGTTTTATAATTTCTTGTAATAATTGTAAAAGAACATTTATTAACCCTTTATGCTGTATCAATGGTTATATATTAATATATCATTTGTTATATAAAGAAACTTCTTATCTAAGAACAAATAATTACAATTCTCTCATACATATCAGTCATTAAAATGTCAATTAACCACTTGGCTTAAAATAAATTTTTACCTGTGATTGAAATCCTACGCCAAACAGAATTGTCCTATCTCTATTCATATATTTTTATATGTGCAATTATCGTCTATAATTTATTATGTAGAAAAAAGGAATTATATTCTTGCTTTATACATGTCTATGTTTACTCCTCAGGTTAACAATTGACAATGGAAGAATAATATTTCATTTTAGTTCAAAAGAATTGAATGACACTTATAATTTGTTCAATTTCGTTTAAAATCTTTGTTATAAATTAAAGATTAACCACTTGTCCTATGATTTCTTCCATAACTGTACTTGATAAAACTATTTCTTCGTTCACAGTTTAGTAGAAGAAGAAGAGAATTTAATAGTACTTATCTTATGTCTATATTTACTCTGCTAGTTAATGATTGACAATGAGAAAGTAATATGTAATTTCTATTTAAAAAAAGCTAAATGACATTTAAATTTGTTGAATTCCGTTTAAAATTTTCATCGTAAGTCTGGTACGATATTACAGGAGAAGGAATTAATAACATCTCGTGCATTGAACTAAACATTTTCAATAATTATTTGAACTGGATCATTTCAACTAATCCAACAGAACCACCTTTAAAGGACAGACAAAGCTTTTTTCAGTGATCTGTAAAAATATTCAACTTCTACACAATATGTATATAAATGCCTTAGATATACAGAGTGTTCCATTCCTTATACCTCTTGACTTACAACATTTTTTCCTATCTCTAAACGTTTGAAGAATACAGCTTGTTCCACTTGTGTGGGAAACATAAACATAGTAATCATAAATAACTACACATAAATATTTGGAAAGAACGAATCACTATTTTCGTTAAATAATGTTTGTGTTTAAGAAATTAAACCCTTTTAATGAAATAACAAGTCCAACTCGACATGAACTTTCTATGCCGGACATTTATTACTAGAATTTTTTACTAGTGATCACCGTGTATAAAAATCATTACTTTTGAAAGAAATATTAAACACTGTAAATATCGTGTAAAAATATTACTCAATACGTCAAAGTATTCAAGATCTTTCACATGTAAGCGGTAGTGATAATTTTAAAACGTATCAGCATCGATAACTAGACAAACAAAATTTTTTTAACTTAAAAGATAATGCTAATAGTGATAATAGAGATATAATTGTGATATACTATTGTTTTATTATCGTTCTATTATTATTCTATTATTTTTCTATTATTTTCCTTCTAACGCTGGTCTACTAATAAACAAATTACGAACTGTTATAAATTTACAAGAAACTCCGGACACTTACACAGAATTTATACGATTCAAAAACTACATAAAATATCTAAAGTTTAATGTATTTATAACATCCATTATGAAAATCAATTTTATATCATAATTCCACGTTTCTTTTTCCAAAATTTAAATTTGCACACAAATTTTCAATCTACTAGCCACCAATCGTTCCAACAACAAAAACATAACCTCTAGAAAAATTGAATCGTCTGTTGCACGTCATTAGCAAATAAAATACAGCAAGAGTCAAGCAGACGTTACACCATTAGCTGATTCCTAAACACTGGAAACAGACACCAGCATCTCAGGATACATGGAAACAGGTCCTGTCGGACGTTGATTTTTCGCCATAATCTCTCACCCGTCGATTGACTTGATATCGTCGTTTGGCGTTACTAATAACCGTGCATTCGAATGCAATTTCAAAGCTTTCAGTGCAGGGGTAGAAGCCTGTCGAGAAGAACGGGAGAGAGAAAGAGAATGAGGAGGAAGAAGGGTGGTAGTAGAGGGACGGTGACTGACGATAACCGGAAATCGAGTTTTCCGGGCCGATGGCGGGAGGTTGACGCACGCTGGAGGGTGGTAGATGTCGGAAAGGAAACCGATCGACGAAGGGCGAGTGAAACGCGAAAGCCGGTCGTCATCGAATGAGGTCCAAGATTGTTGGGTAGGCATCGAGGAGCAAAGGGGATGATCGACGAGAAGAGATGAATATGTGTTTACATGGGAACCGGTAGAACAGGGGAGTGATTAGTGTTGATTACTTAACACTAAACGTACCGCAACCAGTCAAATGATCGGTTTTAAAAATTGATTTACAATTTTATATTTTCTTTCATCCATTTAACTTTCTATCAATTCTTATATTATCTGATTAATAGTTTACCAGTTTTTGTCTTTCCTTTTGTTTAAGTTCCTACTAAAAAAATTGCTCGTTCAATTTGTTTACCTTTATCTTATAACTAATGAATTAGCTTACTAGAGTGGAAATAGTTATATATAATGTACTGGTACGTTTAGTGTTAATTGTGATGAAAATATTAACTATAGGATAATAAGGAAAATATTATTGAATATTGTATCTCATAAGGAATTTAATTCATTTATTATTTCATCAATTTATTACTTATTCTCAGTTGAACGTTTAACACCAGGTTCACGGAATTCACGTTAGTTTGACGTGTAATACATTTTTTTGGTAATTGCTGCAAACGGGAATATTTAACATTATTCGGTAACTGTCAGACGTCCATAATTAAAGGTTGATCTTCATAATACCGAATGGGATACAAGTGTACTAGAAGCATCGTGTATTTGTAGTAATTGCAACTTTCTACACTTTATAATTACTGACTACAAACATTTTCACCTTTTAATGTATCTCTATATACTCTAGCCAATAAATATTCCCGTTCTGATAAAACTATTTATATTCATTAAAACTACTAAATTTTCTCGTTCTAATATAAGTATTTCTATTGAGAACAAACAATACGTTCTTCCGTTTTAATATAACTGTTTGTATTGATGGTAAACAATAAATGTTCTCTTTGTGATATAACTATTTCTATCGATTAAAAGTAACCATTTTCTTGTTCTAATGTAGCTATGTATATCAATAGTACATTAATACAATAGTACATTAATTCCTTAAGAAATAGAATATTCAAGAATATTTTCAATATTATACTATAGTTAATATTTTCACCACAATTAATATCATTATCAAAACTGTATCAAAGCGTTTTACTTAAAAAGTCTCTTTACTTTCACGCATGCTAGCAACGCGTAAATGATCTTACACGACGTACGGGACGTTCAGTAAACAATTAAAACAAGAAAACGATGGGGTGCAATTGTACCCGGGTATTTAACGTCAGATTTCGATCACGG